GGCTCGAGGAAAACAGGTAAAACCCAGAGACAAGAGTCATGGAGACCAGGTGAGAGGAATCAGATGATCAGGTAAGGTGCTCACAGAGGGCTGAGATCAGCCAGGAAGAGACCAGCAGGAACTTTGGGAAGCTCCAAAACAAGAAAGGGACAAAACCCACCTGTGGGAGCCCCAGGCAGGGAGCACCAGCATCCTCCTGGCCAATCCCACCCTCTGGCAAACACAAAACTCAATGAACTCCTCACCCCATCTCTCCTGCTCACTGCACAGCGAGCAAAAGAAATTAATTCCTTCTTTTATTTCTATTTTTAAAGACTCAGAGATGCTCAGTGATAGAGACTGTGACAGTTTGACATTTCATCTGCTCCAGCACATGTGCTCCAAGGAATAACTGCAGATCCAGGATCATACCTCGATTTCTGGTCAGGGATGCCAGAACCAACAGATTTCCAGCAAAGTCAAGAAGTACCTTTGGTACATTTTAAACGAGGTCTCTTTTGCCAACAGTGAGAATTTTAATCTTGCTAAAATTTTCTTTCAGCCAAGTTTAGCCGTCCTGTTAGCAATCTATCAGCATAATTAACACCATCACTCACATAGAATAGGGAAGAGCAGTAAATCCAGGGGTTATCAGCACAAACCTGATAAAGCCTCAGAACCTGCTGGAAAATGCTTTAATAGACACAACTTGAGAAATCTGCACTGGAAGGTCAAGAGAGGTTACAAGTTCAGGAAGATGGGCAAGATGTTGGCATCCAGAACATTGGCTGGAACATTTCAGAACCATAACGTTATTCCAGTTAAAGAGAACAACCTGAGGACAGCAGGATTTTTTATAACCACTCGTCATGTGTATTATTTATTGGGATGTCATTAAGATTTAAAGCAGAAGCACAATCACCAGTTCTGTGGCCAGCATAAGGAGACAAATTAATTTCTTTTTTATAGAATTTTACAGGTAAGGTCTGGTCCCCCTTACATGGAGTAACACCATTTTAGGCAGGTAAACCCTCAAAGATAATAAAATAAAATCCTCAGCAAAGATAATGAAGGTTGGAGGAACTGATAGATAACAAGAACAGACAGTCAACATGAAATATATGTATTTATACACAGGGTTTTCCTTCCTGGGTTTCACATTGCCAGCCTGAAGAAAATGGTTACAGATCAAATTCATGAAATATGAGCAACACACTGCAATACTTATCTGCAAGAAATACTGAAACCCCACCAGAGTATTCCTAGAAATGTTACAATCCCACAGACTGGGCCCAAGAGCTTTATTTCAATAAGGATAGGGGTCAACTTCTCTGAAAGAGAATAGACAATGCAAATTAAATTCACTTTCAGGTTGCTACAAAACAGGAAATAATTGGTGAGATGACTGTCATCTTCATCAGCTGGGTTACAATCCCTCTGTTTAGGATATTTCCCATAAATAAGCAAGATACTGACACTGATTTACCCAGCTTTTGGGCCAGTGGAGGAATCCAGATAAATAATTTAACTATACAATACCTCACAGAGACAGATATTTTACAGCATAATCTGGAAATTTGCACATACACAAGCTGATACAAAATTTTACTTTAACAGAAATAATTTGTTGCTTAGAGCCCAATGGTAATTTCTTGCTTTTATCTCATTTCTTTTTCACAGTTTAGGGGCTTGCCATTGAAGCCGACAGCATTTTGCAATTAGAGACAAGAAGAGTTTAAAAGCACACCTCACTGCATGGAGGTGGAAGGAAATCTTTTCCCAGACATTTCAGAGGATTTAATTATTAGTTTCAAATACATTTTTGGAAAGGAACCTGCAAGTAAACAGAGATTTATGGCCACATAAATAAACAATGAGACAATTAGGGGCTCTTTACAGAGCCCGGATTAGTCACGCATGTCTAATGAAGCATCACTGATGGCCTGATGTGTGTGATTAACAAAACAACACTCAGAACAGCCAACCAGCAACCACGGGCCTCACAAAACCTGCATTTCCTTCCACATCCACAGTTATGGCTTTTGTTGCTTTCTTAGCAAACCACCAATCACTACATTCCACCCTGAAAGGGAGAATATTAAATAATAATAATGCAATTATTTGTATTTTTTGCCGTCTGAAGATCATGCTTTTGAAAGTATAAAAGAACTCCCATAAAATAATTTAAGAATATGTTGCAGCATTCAGGTCTAACCAAGATGGATATGACAGAATAAATGGTAAACAATTATTTTCATGTAATATGCAGCAAGGAAATCTCTCAAGTGGCATTGGGTAGAGAAAGTCTGATTTCAGCAATAATTATGGTAGGGGTTTTTTTTTAAGTTAAAACCAAAAAAAAATTTATATCCTTCAGGTAAGGTATATATTTAGCAAACATAATCTGGAGAAAGCAAATGGGATGGATGGAAAACATCTGACAGCAGAAAGAAAAAGTGCATTTATAAGATTAATAGGGTCAAACCCCATGTGTAATGACAATTTTTGGCATACATACAACAGGAGAACATCCTGTTAGTCATATTAAACACAATTCTTTGCTATCATGTTCTAAATGCACTGACAAGTACTTGGAAAGTGGTATGAAGGAACCTCTTCAGTTTAATCCCTGGCATGGAATGATGGAATAGAAGAAAGGATTGTTGTTATTTCTATTGCAGTGCTGTAGATGAACCATACTGTACTGCATCCACAGTGCAAACTCACAGCAAAATCCTTCTTGTATTTTTCTTGGTGAGATATATTCTTTCCAAATGATATTCAATGATATTCCACCTTCAACTCAATCTCCTTCATGGATAAATTTACTCAAAGGGCAGAATTCCTGATGGCTGGAATAATACCATTATTAAAATCAATACCTTTTGATGAATATTATGTCTGGAACATATTAAGGAGAGCTATAAAGTAGAGGAAGAAAAAAACCTGCTTATCATTTTCAGTAGTAACCCAACCAGAGCCCTTCATCTGTAACGAATTATGGAGCAATTCCCCTAAATCATCTGTATGAAGTCAGCTATGACACTGCCAATTTAAAAAAAAAAATCTGCTGGTTTTGAGCTACAAATTGATTTTTTATTGTGATAAATTAAAATCCAATGGCAGCCTACAAGATATTCAACATGAAGAAGCCCACTTTCTTTTTCTGAATATTTTTATTCTTTTCCATCACATCAGACTGGCACTGGGGCAGACGTGACAGCAATAGACAATGGTGTAAGTTAAGAAAGGACACTCTGGAGAGGTGAATAATCTTTCCAAAATACCCTTTTGGGATCTCAAATTCATGGAAATACAACTAAGGAGAAAGCATTGTGGGGGACAGAGAGGGTTGTTAAAGGAGGAGAAAGCAAATGCAAAATTATCCAGGCTCTTCCCTACTAAGGGCTGCTTTTCTCCCTGCTGCATAAAAGTAAACACCAGCCTCCAATTTATAAACTCTGAAGTTTAACATGGAAATCAGAATATCAGTGTGAGCGAAATATAATTTTTTCCCATCCTTTTACAGTTTCTTCCCATCCAGAAACCTGGGCTGAGGAAACTCTTGTTTTGCCAGTTTTCGGGATTTTCCAGCAGGGATGGGAACGAGATGACATCTGCAGGCTGGCAAAGCAGAGACAGGCTGGATGAGAAAGACTAAGAATGAACGGGACAAGGGTGTGAAAGTGCCACAAGGAGAGACCCAAGCTGGGAAAAAAGCCCAAGGGATGGTGGCTGTGAAGACCTGGCAGAGGATTTCATCTCTGCTCCAAAACCCTTGGCATGGGAAGCACGACTCCCCTGGTTTGACAACAACACGTAAAAACTGAGGTGTAAAGCTCCCCACATCCCTGTGACACAGCCCTGCTGCAAGAAGGACAACTCAATAGTCCTGTCCATCACCTGGGCAGCCCAGGGGCAGACATCTGCACGGTGGATTTAAGGGTTTCGTTCTCAGCCTCACCGGGTGAGTGACAGGTTTACTACAAGGATGATATAGTCCTGTCAGATTTAGAGGATGGGATGTCAGAGCTATGAAATGAAGGAGACTTGTTCCCATGTCCCCACCTCACTCTGTGCAGACAGGAGTGTGCAGGAGAGGCAGCTGCAATAAAGCACACCTTTGTTTCCCTCTTTATTCTAGGCAAAAGAATTCCAGTGTTTGAGAAACAGTCAGAGACAAGTGCAAAAGGAACAGACCTTCTCTTTCCTCTTTTTATTTCCCCAATAAAAGGCTTTAATTTCAGGAAAGCAACTGTGGCTAGGGTGCAATTTGCACTGACAGCCCTAATTCTGACATTTCCTATTTTCTGTAACCCCAGCAATGCTCTCTGAAACACAGCTTTTGCATTGATACTTTACACAACACATCCCAAATGAGCTTTTCATTACTAACTACTCGTAATATGTATCAGTGAGCTCAATGACATTGATTTTCTAATAATATAAATTAACTGGCAAAGATAATTTCATCTATCATCAGTAGGGTTTTATTTCTGGCACCGTGTTAAATAGTTAATCTTCCAAAAGATTAAATCAAGAGCTTTTTAAAATTCAAGGCAGAGCTTAAACTGCTGTAAAAATCTTCTTAATTATGATTAAAACAGTTTGTGTGTTGTTGCTTTATATCTAAGTAGTGTAATGTTTTGCTTAGGTTTCTTCTTTCAGAGCAATTTAAAAAATCAAACATGGTATTGCTGTGGCAGAAACTGTGTAAGGCATGAAAGTCTCTGCAACTTCCTCCACCAGATGCTACTGGGGAAGTTGCTGCTTCACACAGTCAACCCCTAATTTTCCACTATCTTTTACCTCTCTTTTTGTAAAAAATATCATTTTTCTACCACTGACAATACACAAGCTACACTCTACAAGTGATGTAAGGGATGATAACCCTTTATTAAATTTCTGAGATGTTTCATATGTGTTTGCACCAGTGAGATTCCACTGCCCAGCCAGGAAATGCTTCTAAAGGAACCAGGAAAGATTCAATTCTGTCCCACCACACCATCAACTTTACTTACCCCTGTCTTTTCATCAAAGATTTTGATTCCCCCAAAGGAAACTGTTAAGAAGACTTTTTGTTTATGCTCCCCTTTTGATCGAGCTGCAGCAACAATTCCCTGTGGAAACAAAAAGCAGTTTTGGTTGGTTTCATGATTCTCCCATGTGCCACAGATTTATCTGTGGACAATTCACAAGTTTTCTAAGAAAACTTGAATGTTTTCCAGGAACAGCCCCCACCTTACTTCTGGCATCCTCCCTTTCCTCAAGGTACCACATCTCTTTATGCTACCCAGAGAGAATTTCAAATGTGCTCCCACTTCCAACCTCTGCACTAGCTAATCCTCCATGAAATTTGTTTTCATGGAAGCTGAAGGTCATTTCTAGCAATTTTTTCCCAGCTATAAGCTGTTCTATTTTACTTATTTATTTTTTAAATAGGAAAAAAACACAACAAGCAGCAGAGGAGAGAAAATGCCAATGAATTTAGCTTACTTCACACTCATCTAGTATAAGCAAATCGAGCTTTTCATAGAAGAAAAAAATATTCTTCTGAAAATCAAACTACACCTGTGCTGTGAAAAACTGGTATTGAGGGTTGTTTTTTTTTTTTTTTCAGGATCTCAGGCCTTTTACTTGATAAGAGAACTTGCATCTCATGCATTATTCTCCCACAGCAGAATTAGAACAGTAACTTCTGTTTCCACCTTCTCAGGAGCTTGCCCTGACCAGGAACACTGAACTGAGATCAAATATAATCAGTTGTACTCCTAAATAAAATGAAAATATTTAGACTTTATCTGGTTCTCTGCAATTCCAATGTTCCAAGAACAACTAACTTATGTTTTAAGACCTTCACTGCTGCCTTACAAGGATCTGATGTCAAAAGCCACCCCAAAACTTTATGGGTGGCCTCAAAATTTATGTTATGAGACACACTGGATTTCCAGAGCCCATAAATTAATGCTCTGCTCTCAAAAATGAATTTCTAACACTCCCTTCCCTTAACAGTTTTAGCCATTTCCTAGTACTGTTTAGATTAATCTTGCCACCTGCAAACAGGTATTAGGCACCTGGGACATCTGGAAATATTAATCTATGGAGGAGAGAGACAAAAAGGCAGAACAGTGACAACTCTCCCCACAGTGCCAGGAACTATGAAATGATGGGAAACACCCAGCACACATTTAAATCAGGTAGGAATATTGTGGCAGATGTGACACACCAACAGAGCAACTTTTGGAGCGGATTAATTTTTGCCTGCCATAAAACTGTAAATTATCTCCCAGATCTTGCTTTTAGGTTGTTGAACCACAAGCTGAGTGCCACCCCATGCTGTTTTTCCCTCATGAGTAACTCATTCCTCCTGGATGGACTGGAACCCTGCAGGCTGCTACTGCACCAGACACCATTTAGTGATTCCTCCTCCTGAAAAAAAAAGCCCCAGCAATGGAAAATCCATTGGGGAGAGAGCTGGGAGGGAAATGAAAGGGAAAAAGCAGCAGAGGATTTGCTGCTAGACCTGGTTTGTAACCCTGCAATGCAGAGGGGAGATGGGAAGTGAACAGCCAAGTGCACTCCAGGAAAACACAACCTCTCCTTCCTTCCTTCCTTCCTTCCTTCCCAGTGACTCAAGCTCCTCCACAGGGCCCAGGGTGAGGCACAGAATGATTCCTACAGGAACTCTCATGCTCTGAGACAGACAGAGGGATGTCTGTCAGCTCCAGAGAGCCCACCCTTGACACCACTGCTATTTCAGACCCTGCCTCCACTCCAGCCCTGCACCCAAATCTGCCTTTGTCACGGCTTCATTTCACCCCCAAAGCTCTGGGGACTCCTCTTTATGCTCTCACGGCCGATGTTCTCAGTGCACTGCCTGGTTTTGTAACACATCAGCCCTGCCCTTGCTGGTGAAGACATTCTCCTCCCAGAGAGGACACCAGCTCCCCCTAAATCTGGCTGCCTACACCCATCACTCACAGGAGGTAACAGCCAGAGGCAGTGCTGCAGTTGATTAGAAATGTCATAGAAAATGCTCTGATATCCCATTTTCCTCCACAGTCGTTTACTTCCCCTTTTGCATAATAAAATTATTCAATTTGCAGCGCGTTGTTTGTAATTTGTGGACAAATTGCAGCGGTGTCAATCACGGAGCAACTACAGAACTCGGAGATAATGTATTAAAATTAAACCAGGATAAGCAATACCAGGCAGGAGTTCATGCAAAATTGACTGATTTCAATACATAATTAACCACGCTGAGGCTCAGCGTCACGAAAGGAGAACGAGCGCGAGTTCCAGCTGAGATTTGCTCCGTTCGCCTGCGACGCTGGGAAAGTTCCACCGCACCTTGAGCTTCATCATGGAATCCTGGCACAGCTTGTCCCCCCGGGCAGCCGAAACCTCATCGATCCCGATCAGCTTGGCCTTGTAGCGCACGCCGTCACCCTTGAACCTCCTGATGAGAGTGGCCTCGCTGCGATCCTGACCTGCGGAGACAACGGGGACAGCGGGCACGGTTCACGGCACGGCACGGGGAAACGCGAGCCAGCGGCAAAAATCCCATCCCGAACATCCCAGAGGAAAACCCCAGGGGGAAACGCCCGCTCCATAAAACCCTGGGGCCTCGCTGTCCCCCAAGGGATTCGCAGTGACAGCACAGAAATGAGGTTTACGGAAGGAAGAGATAAAACTGAATTCACAGCTCGTGAAGCTGGAAAGTTGTGTTCTGTACCACTTGTTTTAATCCCAACACACAGGAGAATTCGACGTTTGTGCAGACAAAACTCTTAACAGAAACATGCTACTTTTTCCTTACAAAATCACTCATGTAAGCAATATTTACTCTATTAACATCTGATAGGTGGAAAACCAAATACCAAATTGGATTGTCTATAGAATGCTGATGCTTTAAAACTCCAGGTTCTATTCTTTTTGCACATAAACATACACAGAAACAACATAACTGGCAAAGGCTGCACTCACAGGCTCACCCTGAGAAGCTTAAAAAAATGGCAAAAAGGATGTTTCTTAATAAAAAGGCTTGGGTTTTAGTTATTTTTTTTCCTGCTTTTTTATCTTCATTACAATAGTAGCAGCAGCAGCAGTAGTAGTAGCAGTAGTATTTAAACTATTAAATGATTTTTTAATCAACCCATAAGTAGTAGTTGTAGTAGTAGTAGTTAAATTATTAAATGACTTTTTTTCTCAACTTCTCTCACTTTTACCCTTCCAGTTCTCCTCCCCTCATCCTGCTGGGAGGGGACTGAGTGCCTGCACGGTGCTTTGTTGTCAGCTGAGCTTAAACCGTGCCACCAGTGTACCCAAATTACCTGAACCACATGGCTATGACACCACAACACCCCACAAAAAAGACATCTTTGCCAGGAAAACCTTCCCTCCCCTTCCCTGAGTGTCTGCAGAACAGTTTTTACCATGTCTCAGCTGGAAGAAATATGTTAGTTAGAGAACCAGTCTTCCTAAAATTGATTAAACATATATTTTGCAGCTGTCTGTGAATTTCTTGCTAGGATCTCAAAAAAAACCCAGCAGTGAGCTGTAAATAACTGCAACCAAACAAACAACAGCCAAAGCACAAAGAAGCAGGCAAAATAGTGAGATATTACACAATTTTCAGTTTCTCGGACCCAACAGACTTCTCAGAAAAAACCCTTCCCTAAACATGGACAGACATTGCTAAAATTTATACTATTGCCACCTAAGGGCTCTGGTCACAGATTCTTCCAGCTGATGCAAGACAATGAACCAAAAACCAGATATAAAGGAATCACAGGTCAGAATTTAGTCTTTATTTGAGAATTTTAGCCCAAACATTCTCCAGAGGTCATTCCTACTGAAAAGGTCAGATTTAAGCACAAAAAGAAATAAATAACATTAATGTAATAAATTTTGTTAGTATATTAAGATTAATATAATCTGATCGTGCTGTTTATTAACAAGAAGTACAGAAGCTTTGGGGAAAACTGCTATTTTGTTTTGCATTTCTATTAAAAGCACCTTCATTAGCAGTCAGCACTTCGGCCAGCTTTGCTAATTTACACACCTATCAAGTTGATCAACAAGTTAGGTTCTAAACTATGGAATTAAGTCTTTACAATACCATTATGAGAATATATGACCAGCAAAGAGCACTTCCAAATGAAGACATTCACTGGTTGCCTTCCCCTCAGAATAAAGCATCGTGAATTAATTATGGATTAAATGTATATTAAGAAAACAGAGTTATTTTAAACATTTTGAGACCTTCAAGTATGTTTGAGTTCACAAATACTATTTCTTTCAACGAAAAACATCAGCTCAGAGCAATGTTTTAATGCCTCATTTGTAGCCCTTTAAAAAGAAGGCAGCTCCCAAGTGCTGCTGTGATAGTTCAGCAGCCACCCAAGTGTTTCCCTCGATTTCTTCTCACCCCTCAAAAGAACTGAAACTTCATGCTCTTACACCGTCTTGAATTTAAATTAAAAAAAAAAAAAAAAAAAAAGAGAAAAAAGGCAAATGAGACACAAGCAATGAATCAGAAACTCTCAGCAGTGCTAATATCATTCCCCAGGGAAACATCAAGGCAGACGTTGGCACCATCAGCTAGAAACAATGAAAAACCATTTCCCACTTCCAGCCTCCAGAGGGGGGCAGGAGGGAAAACATCTGGAGACACAACAAAGTACAACAATAACAGTGGACTTTTCCATATGTCTTTTATACTTGTGAAGACATCCTGTTGATTTGCAATAAATACCATCCAATTCCAACAGCTTCCTTACCCGAAATTTCCAACTTTACGCCTTCGTTAGAGCCAAAGGCAGCTGTGAGCTGACAGCAGGAGCATGTCAAGTGTTCAGCAGTCTTTTCTGGGTCCAAGTCGTGACTGTGACCCTGCATTCATCTGTTATTTTAGCATTTATACTTATTTCAACCTCTGCTGTGTTTTACTGCACGTAACTAAATCCCTGCCATTAACAGCCCGCTCAAACACAGCTCATGGCCGTGTCTGCTTCCTTCGGCACAAGTCCCATGCCAATTATGACCCAGATTAAGCAGGATGAAGTGCTTTTGGGATAAATGACTGGGAAAAATCATCAGCCTGAAAACGATGTAGATATTTGAAGCTGTGGTGGAAGCTGCAAATTGCAGGAGATTACAAATTCATCCATGAAACCGCAGAGCATATGTCCCGTGCAGAGCACAGCGAGGGCACACACACACACACACACACACTGCCCTGTATTGTGGATCTGCCATCTGCAAGCCACCATCCCATCCCTCAGCACACACCCACGCCTCCTCGGAGCTGTATTCACCCCAATTCCCCAAATTTTGGTGCTGAGAACTCCCTACCTGCTTGGGAAATGACCGTGTGACACTGCCAGTGCAGCTCATTTTACAGCGCCCATCAGGTGTGTGAGACATAGGGGAGGGTGATATTTCATCTGAACCCTGAACACTGTGGAAAGCAGAGAGTCCAGACTGTCATAAACACCCCATCATTGAAACAAAAAAGGGTGGGGTTTTAAATGACAGCTCTTGAACAAGGTTCTTTCTGAATTTGAAACTGCAGAAATAAGAGATGCCTGAATTACGAGGCTGTAATTCTTCCCAGGCTTCAGAGGAGGGTGAGTGATAACATTAAACCACCACACCACAGAGCTGTGCCCGTGCCAGGAACACGCCCAGGGAAGTGAATCTTTCCTTCCATGTAACAAGCGGAGTCAAGATTTGCTCCTTTGCAGCTTCTGCTTTTACCAGTGGAGCTCTGCCATCAAGCCTGGCTCTCCAGCCATCCCTGCCACCACACTGGATGGGTCCCAGCCTCTGGGAAGGAAAATTATTCTGGATACAGGGATGCACTTACTGCCAGATCTGAGTTTTATTTCAAGACTGTGCAGCCACATCTTGGGGTTAGGTAACATTTCAATGGTTCACAGAGGGGCACTCACCTGTCAAGTTTTTATGGAACACTGAGGCTTGAGATCAAAAATCATTATTAGGCCATAATCTGCAGCAAAATTAGAAGCCTATGTTTAATGACAAGCACTCCTCTGTCCACAACACATTTCCTGAAATCTTGTTTTAGCAATTCTGGACTAGAGAGCAGCACAGATGCCAAACCACTCTGGGTAGGCAGCTGATGTCCATCGTAGCTGTTCACCTGCCCCCTGCAAAGGGAGGAATATCCCAGAGGTCTTCAGAGGAGCAGAACCTTTACACCATTCTAAAATGATCCTAAATTAAATGTCTGTATCAAAACTATTCGATGGATGCTTTCCAATGGTTTGCTCTAAACTGCTTTCATAGTCTGTTTTTCATAAGCAGAAGGATTTTCATAAGAAATAACCCAGGCATTTGTTCCAACTCAACACAAGCAGTTTACAATCCAAAATGGAACAAGATTATCAAAATTAAAATCAATTTGATTCACATGCCACAAACTGAGGGAAAAAATGCAGAAGCTAAAAACCCATTAAGAAATCATACAAATTCAGTTTAAACAGGTGATCACTTTTAATTAGAAAATGCGCTGATCTTTATCCAGGGAAAGTTTTGTTGGCAGTGTATAGATTTATAATCCTCAGAGGCCCTTAAATGTAAATGTAAGAGTTATTATTTTATTTTTATCTACTTTTGTCGATGTCACCATACACCCTAGAGCCACATGTGCTCCAGCTGGACCCCCTGCTTCTTCGTGAGAAGGAAAACACGACCTTTGCTAGGGAGCTGTGACATTGCACTTGGACTTTCACAGTCTTTTAAGAGCACAATAAATCCCCAGAGCTGGGTGATGCAATGTGCTCCCAGGCTCCCATGTGAAGTGGAGAGAGGCTGAGCAGCACGATCAGCATTAAGGTACTTTATCCATCTCACTAAAGTAGAAGTCATAAACAAGGTTTGTAATGCAGTCAATCATTTTTATTCAAAGCACTATACCTTAATTAAACCAAAATTCCCCCAAGCAAGCTGGAGACAGCCCCAAACCCAAACCCCAAGGGCTCAACCCAAGTGCCTCAAGTCCAGTCAGTCCCAAGGGGTGCCTGGCAAGCAGCCCAAGAGGGAGAGGAGCTGTTGTGGGAGATGCAGGATGGAGCATTTACCTGGCCCTGACACTGCTCTGGACGCTGCAGCTCACCCCAGGTTTGCTGCCCAGGCACTGTGCATTTTAGTGAGTGTTCCCTCCTTTATCCTCACTCCTGGTACAAGCCAAGGATTGCACTTGATTTCAGCTCTCAGCCCCACAGAACACCAAGCTAACACTGTATTAATATGCTAAAGTTTAGAGCCAACGCTGCTCATCCTCCCAGGGGATCTGTAAGTGAGTGTATCTCATAAATAGAAAAATAAAATAAAGCAAAGCCCCTCTGCAGCGAGAGCACTGCTGCTCTTTCTGTCCTGCTCACAAGACGCTCAGCATTCCTCATAGCACCCGCTAATCTAAACCAATAACTCTGGAAATGGCTATATCCTTTATTTAAATGTG